AGAGATTTATATTTTTTAGATTTGATTAATTCATATCTTCTAAATCTGATTATTAATTCAAAGTGGGATTTAAGTATTCTAGTTGTCCTTTCAAGCAACGTCCTCGTCGTCCACCATCCAGGACTAGCAAATATGAAAAGAGATTCATATTTTTTAGATCTGATTCCTAATTCAAAGTGGGATTTAGTATTAAAATTATTAAAATGTTATTAATAAAATAATATAAAGAATAAAAAATATTATAATTATAATATCACGTGATATTATAAATTTATAATATAATATATTATTATATAATTAGTCCTTTTAATTTAAGAATTCACTCATAATATTATATATATTTATTTATCTACTATTATATCATACTTGTCTAAAGTAATATCATAGTTATTTAATATTATATTATAATTATAAACTTATAATATTACGTGATATTAAAAGTTTTATTTTTGGCATTTTAATAAATTTACAAGTTGAATAAATCTAACTCAAAACATTTATCATCTTATCCCATCTTACCCTATTGTGTTGTGTTGTGTTGTGTTGTGTTGTGTTGTGTTGTGTTGAAGTCAAAAGTTAATTTGATATTGTGTTGTAATTATTTTTTAAAAATATTATTCTCTTTATTTAACTTTAGGTGTCTAAGTTTTATTTTTTTAAAAAAAAAATTTAATATAAAATTTAAATAAAAATTTAATAATATATATAAATAATAATTAAAAATTGTTTATATGTAATTTTTATTAAATATTTTTATTTGATAAAAAATTTAATTATCATTTATATAATATATTAAGTTTAATAAAAAAATGCACAACTTCTTAATAGTATAAAATAATTAAAAGAAAAGTACTTATATAATTAACGGCTTATATCAGTTTAGTAATTTTACTTAATAAAAAATTATAAATTGTTATTTATATCACTCGAAAAACATAACTCCTTAAATTTAGTATGTGGTTGTGACACGGGCGGAGCTTTGAAGAGACCAGGGAGGACTATGGCCCCCCTCAACTTTTGAAAAGTTTTAAAGTTAGTTCCTAAATTTTATATTTTATGAATTTTATCATCAATTTTTGTTTTATTCACCTAATTATTCTTATTATATATGAAAATAACCATCATTAGTCCTTTTCTAAATTTTGTTATTAAATTCAAAATATAATGTTATTATGACAATTCATGACAAATCTATTACATATAAAAATCGTCTTTTAATCTCTAATTTTTTTGCTACAAGATTGCTAAAAAAGTTTCTAAACTTTTAACGCTTCTTCAGTCCGGCCTCCCCCCTACTACTTAGATCATCACTTTTCTATGCCCAAAATTAGTTTAAAATATTTATTTTAGTCATAAATATCTATTTTTTTAGATCAAAATATTAAAATTTCACTTTTAACTCATAACATTTTGCTAAGCCAAATTTGATTATTTTATTTTGTCATTTTCTGTACTAATTTTTTATATATTTTTAAATTTATTACATACTATTTTTTTATGCATTTTATTCTTTACTCTCTTTTTTTACAAATATAA